TCATGAACAAGGCTTTATATATGGGCCTAGTCCATCATGCTTATACACGAGAATAAATACATGCTCCCAGAATGACAACTTCATAGTAGTATGTATTCTCTTATCATGGGTCCATGAAATGTACATTTCAAGGATCCAAAATGTTGAACGTTACTGTTTATAGGAAGTTATCAGCTACAACTTATGACTTTTCTCCATGATCCACAAAGTTCCTTAATCAAAAGTTCACTGATTATACTAGGGTATATGAAGAAGGTAGGCAGCATGAGACCATTTAGTGGGTATAACTAGTGTTAATGAATGCTACGGCTGCATATATTTTTTTCTTTTTCTCAATTTCTTGATCAACTGGATAATTCTATAAAAGGAGTAAGTTAACAAGACCAAGTTAGCACAGCAGGGAGTAAGTGAAAACATATTAGTAAAAAACAAAATACTGTAAAAATGAAAACACAAGTAAAAAAAAACGCATTTGTGTAAGCAAACACAGAAACATACCAAGGAATCACAATAATAGTGACAAATAATTATACAATTTGACCTCTAAGGAAATCTTTTCAGACAGACTGAAGATTTTATATATTTACTTCGTAAATACACAAGTTTCCATTTCTTTCTCTGAGAATACAAACATTTTCATAGAATGTCCCCTAATGAACATGCCTTCTTAGAGTAAATTGGGCAAAATGTGAAGAGGATAAGCCACTATATCTCATATACAGTAGGACATAACTTCAAAATTATTTACAGCATTTCACATAACAAAAATAAACATATCAAATATAGGTAGAAAATAAAGAATGAGAGAAACCATATCATACTCATACAAGTTCATTTCAGCTACATACAGAAGGAACAACAGATAAAGCACACAATATTTACAATGCCTAGAAATGGAATCTTTTTTTATCACTTTCAAAAGCATTATCTTTTCTGGATGAATCTTATAATCAACAACAGAAAATGGAATATCTGTATAGAAAATGCAGGATGCAAATATAAAATGTATGGCATAAGCAAAGAAAATCATAATAATAAGGCAGAACACAAGTATTTTATAATGTTACCTAATACAATGTCTTGCCCAAATTCTTTGGAACATAATCAGTCATTAAACATATACATGTATGTACAAGTACATTAGCATGTACTGACTCATTTGATAGTAACTGCTGATGTACCCTGTTCAAAGATTTTATATATTTATATATTTATATATATATAGATATATCAAAGTTGTTTTACAAAATATAACTTTCACACAAATGATTATGTACATGAATTAAACTGCACATCAGAGCACCAGTATAAATATTTAGCATATCAAACAGCCTCAAATGTAAGCTGTTTATAAGCCTGGCAGGGGAAGAGGTTGAATGAGCTCACAAGATTTGAAAATGTAGTTTAACTTGTCTTGCATTTTCAGTTTAAACTACTTTAACTTAATAAATCACAAAATAACCATTTATACTTACACTGCAGAATACACAGATACTAATTTGACACTATAAGTTCCAGTAAAGACTGCTTTTACTGGTTCTGAGAATGAATGAAACTATTATCTACATTATGTTTAACTGAAGGCTGAACTGCCAAACATACAACTTTATATAATCCAGAAATCATATGAAAAAGATTTAGCATAACAACTGAAAGTTCTTGAACAATCCACTTACAATCAAAAGAGAAGCTTTCCAAATCTCTGACTGCATAAAACAAGTTGTAGAGAATCTGATTTCTAGTCTATCAATAAGATGAAAGATCTTAGTTGTAGTTGAAGTACATGTGATACTCATATCCTCCACCACACAAGTCACTTGATTAATTCTAAGCTAAAGAGACTCCTGCAACAAAGGCCTAGAATCTGAAATACCTATTTGAGAAAGACTTCTTTGGTACTACACCTGTATAACAAAGTAAAATGACTGACAAAGCAGGGACCACAATCCTAAGAATTTCCATTCAGGGTTTTTTCAGAATTCAGACCAACGACAAGGAGCATCCATCACAGTCTCATTTCAAGAAGGTTGCCAGGCAAGTGTGAACACTTAACTGGCTGGGCTCAGCTAGTACGACATTGGACGTCTGCCAAGTTGCGATCATTCTGGCCGCCAGGAGAAGGGTCCCGCGAAGGATTATCGCCACCTGGCCCTCCTCCTCCTCCACCTCTCCCCTCACCCCCACTGCCTCCTCCAAACACATGGGCCATGTTGCCCATGTGCATCAGCATCATCTCCAAGGGATCAGCACTCATGCGTTGCTGGTTGGCTTGGGCTGTTTTTTCCATTTTCTCAAAGTCCATGCTTTGAAGATCTTCATTATCCAGCTATGAAAAGTTCAAATTAATAAAATATACATCAAACCTATGGAAATATATGATTGAAACCCAGTGTTTCCACTTCTTTTTCAAATAAGCCTCAATATACTGAATTTTAAAAATGTTTATCTAAATACAAATCAGCCTGATATCAAATGCATTCTTTTACAAGTACATTATCTA